TTCTCTAGGGCCCACCAGCTCTGAACAGATCATGAAGACAGGGGCCCTTTTACTTCAGGGGTGAGTTTGAGGTCTGATTATTGTGGAGCAGATTTGAGGCGTGACACTCCATTCTGATTCTGCATCCCCACTCCATTCCCACTCTAGTTTCATCCAGGACCGAGCAAAGCGGATGGGAGGGGCGACTCCCGAGCTGGCCCTGGAGCGGGTGCCCCAGGATCCATCCACTAAGAAGCTGAGCGAGTGTCTCAAGCGCATCGGGGACGAACTGGACAGTAACTTAGAGCTGCAGAGGTGTGGCCCTTGGGACCCACAAGTCCAGCCACTGGTCCCCTCCTCCCGCAGACCCAGGCATTCCCACCTCCCACCCCTCCTCCCCCAGACCTAGGAGTTCCCACCCCACCCCTTTCTCCCTCAGACCCAGGAGTTCCCACCCCATCCCCTCCTCCCTTAGACCCAAGAGTTCTTACCCCACCCCCTCCCTCAGACCCAGGAATTCCCACCCCACCCATTCCTCCCTCAGACCCAGGAGTCCAGGCTCCACTGCTCAACTCATGGACTTACCAGCCCTCTCCTCTTCCAGAATCTTGAAACCCACCTTTAGGGAGTCATGTTCCTTCCTCCACCAGCCTCAATCTCCATCTTGCCCCCTTCCCTTGCCTCTTGTGTTTTAGTTTGGCCTGGCTTGGGCCTCAGTTTCCTAATCTTTGTATGGGGTGGATGCCCAGATCCTCATGCTCTGCCTGACCCTCCCTCCCCAGCACTGCTCTCCTCTTTCCTCCAGGATGATTTCAGCTGTGGACACACACTCCCCCCGTGAAGTCTTTTTCCGAGTTGCAGCTGAGATGTTTTCTGATGGCAACTTCAACTGGGGCCGGGTTGTCGCCCTTTTCTACTTTGCCAGCAAGCTGGTGCTCAAGGTGGGCGGCTGCAGGACAGTGCCCCTGTCAGACCTGGGAGAACCTGGGCATCATGGGGTCAACCCCTGAGGTGGCCCACAGGCCACAGAGAGTAGAGAGAGAGACATCCGTAGGCTGGTGTCTACTCTTTGTTTATTCATTCAACAAACATGTATTAGTCCTCCTACGTGCCAGGCCTTTACTGAGCTCCAGGAACACAGCAGTGAACAATATAGGCCCGGTCCCTGCTCTCCTGGAGCTCACATTGTATAATGAGAAGGAAGATAGGGTGATGTGATTGAGTAAAGTGGCCAGGAAAGACTTCTAAGAGGAGGTGACATTAAAGCCAAAGTTGGAGTGACAAGAAGGATGCAGTGATATAAGGATCAGGGGGGAAAGGCATTCACGTAGAGGGAATAGCAAGTGCAAAGGCCCTGAGGTAGGACTGAACTTGTTGTGTTGAGGAACGGCAAGGAGGCCCGTGGTTGGAACAGAGTGAGCTAGGGGGAGAAGGTGGTAGGTAAAGGCAGAGTTGGTCAGGGGCAGATTGTGTGGGGCCTTTCAGGCCACGGTAAGGATTTTAGTTTTATTCTGAGAGAGATGTGATTGGGTGGTTTTAAGCAGGGGAGTGAGATGATGTGATTTATAAATTTAAAAGATGACTCTGGGGCAAATGGTTCAGCACTCAGCTACCAACTGAAAGGTTGGCAGTTCATACCCACTCAGGCTCCTCAGAAGAAAGCGTTGGTGATCGGTGGGCCTCTGAAAGGTCACAGCCGTGAAAACCCTATGAAATGCAGTTCTACTTTGCAACACATGAGGTCACCATTAGTCACAGTTGACTCTGTGGCAACTGCTTTTGGTAGCAAGCATAGAAAAATGTTCATTGTAGAATGCAGGTTGTGGATAGATGGGAAGGGGAGGTTCAAGGAGTTGGGAGAACAGATCGTAGTGGGGGAACAAGGGTCTTAACCTGGTCTGGAGTCAGAAAAGCTCTCCCTGGGGAAGTGACATTTGATCTGAGCTTTGAGGGGTGAGTGAGAATTTGCTTGATTGAGGCCTGTTTTAGGTAGAAGCCTCCACAAGTACAAAGCCCCCGAGGCAGGGAAGAGTGTGGTGGGAATGAAGAAGATGGTCAGGGAGAGACAGAAACGAAGCAGAAAGTAGAATGAGATCAGTTCAGAGCCTTCACTCAGAGCCTCCTGGGCCCAGTTATGCCTTTAGGTCTTTATCCCAAGGGCACTGGGGAGTCACAGAAGGCTGTTGAGCAGGGCAGTTGACAGTGATGTAACTCAATTTACAATTTATGAAGCTCACTCTGATTGTGAGCAGAAAAGAGACAGCAGGGGGCCAGGAGAGGAGGCAGAGAGTTGAGAAAGAAGGCTTGGGGCTGCTGTCCCTAGGCAGTGGGGACAAGTCTCAGCCCCTAACTCTCACCCATTCCCCACAGGCCCTGTGCACCAAGGTGCCCGAGCTGATCAGGACCATCATGGACTGGACACTGGACTTCCTTCGTGAGCGGCTGCTGGGTTGGATCCAAGACCAGGGTGGTTGGGTGAGGCCTCCAACCCCCCTCCCTCTGCCCCTCGCTCCTCTAGGACCCCTGGGCCTTCTTGAGCCCAACCCCAACCCCATTTCCAGACCATCAAACATGATCTTTACCTCTCTGTTCCTTGTGGGTCTGATCGACCCGTGATTTGTCTGGTACCTGCTAACCTCTCATTGACCTGTGACCTCCTGGTGACCTCTGACCTCCCTGTGATCCCTGGCCCAACTGGTGCCTTCTGCCCTCCCTGGTGCCTGCACTTCCTCTAGAATGCCTCAAGTTCGTTGATAACCCTTTAACCCCAACTCTTTAGCACCCATTAATCTTAGGGTCTTGCCCCTGATGCCCTCTGACCTCTCCTTGACCCCTCTGTTTACTTCCTCCTTGCCTTTGGCCGCAATGCGGAGAAGTGACTGCTGTCCTTATCCCAGGATGGCCTCCTCTCCTACTTTGGGACCCCCACGTGGCAGACAGTGACCATCTTCGTGGCCGGCGTGCTCACTGCCTCGCTCACCATCTGGAAGAAAATGGGCTGAAGCCCCGGTGGCCTTGGACTGTGTCTTTTCTGCATAAATTATGACATTTTTCCAGGAGGGGTGGGGATGGGGGGGGACACGGGTATTTTTCTTACTTTTGTAATTATTGGGGGAGGGGGGTTGGTCTCGGGGAGGGGGCAATAAACCTCCTTTGGGCCACATGCCGGAGTCTGAGTCACTGGGCCTCTCCCTTCCCTAGCCGTGGAGGGGGAGCAGGCCTCCCACACTGTTCCCTCACAGCTTCCACACGCCACGCCTGCTGTCTGCACACCCAGACTCTGTCTCTCCCTGGGTCTCTCTGGGTCTAGAGCTCTCTCTGCCTCCACCCTCTCGAGATGTCTTTTCTGAGGGTGCTCAGTGTGCTCTGTGGGGCTGAGATGAGAGAGGTCCCAGCCCTGCCCTGTCTCCCCCTCTCTCTGGGTCTCTGTCCTTCCCCCTCCCCCCAGGTCTCTGTCTGTCTCCCTCTGGGAACAGGGGCATCTGGCATCCCAGTATCACAGGGTAGGGTGATGTGTTCCCTAATGGAGGCAGCACTGGGGGAGGAGGGCTGGATCTGCAAGCTTGAACATAAGGGACCACAGGAAGTTGCATGTTTACTGAAGTGGAGGGTTGGGGTAGAGGGGAGGAGGGGGACAGACTTTTTGTAAGGCCTTGGAAGACTGGGGCACAGGGGAGCTAAGGAGGTCTAAGAGCAGGGGAGGGCTCTGGAGCCCTGTTGTGAAGCTACTGGACAAGGGTTCTGGGCTGAGGGTAGGGCTAGGGAAGGAAGAGGAGGAGTTCTAGGGTGGGGCCCAGTAAGCGAGGGTCAGAGGAGCCCTCCCAGAGAGGAGCAGGCTTAGGGAGTGATGCTGAGCTCAAAGGAGGAGCAAAAAAGACCCAGGTCTGGGAATCCGAAGAGAAGGGGATTAGAGAGAATGAGAACATTGGGGAGGGGGGTGGGGAGGCATGGAGTCCCTGTCCCCCTCTCTGGGTCTCTGTCCTCTCTCTCTTTGTACCCACCCTGGGTCTCCTCCCTCCCTTCTGGGTGTCTGTCTCTCTCTGGGTCTCTGTCCCCCTCTCTATCTCTATACCCCTCTCTCTC